CAAGCTATCATTATTTTTCTCTGACCTGTATTGTTGCAAAAGTCTTGTAACTGCTCTCCATGCTTCCATTTTTGGTCCCTTAAAGTTTATTCTCTGTGAAAAGGCCAAGTTTTCCCATTTCAGGGACTGTCCAAGTGCTGTTCCCTCTACCTTCCCCTAATTCTTCATATGAGCACTCCTTCATCTTATCCATTTCCTTATTAAGAGGTAAAGATCAATAAAATTGACAAACCAATAGCCAAACTGATCAATACAAAGAGGAAAGACATAAATTACCAATATCAGGAATAAGAGAGGCGACATCAGTACAGATTCTCCAGATTTGAACAGTATATGGGAGTATCATGAACAAATTTATGCCAATAAACTAGACAACTTAGATGAAATGGACAAAGTTCTCAAAAACTCAAACTACCAAAGCACACTCAAAAGAAATAAACTGAATAGTCCTATATTTATAAAACAATTGAATTAGTAATTTAAAACCTCCCACAATGAAAACAACAGGCCCAGATGGCTTCCTTGGTGAATTCTACAGAACAGTTAAAAAGCAAACAAACAAACAAAAACAATTCTACACAAACTCTTCCAGTAAACTGAAAAGGATAGAGTGCTTCCCAAGTCATTCTATGAGGCAGGAACTACTATAATAACAAAAAGCAGAGAGAGATTAAAAGGAAAGAAAACTATAGATCAATCATCTTCACTGAACATAGATGCAAAAATTCTGAACAAATTTTGGCAAATAGAATCCAAACATACATAAAAAGGATAATATAACCAAGTACAGTTATCCTAGGAATACAAGGTTAGTTTGACATTTGAACTAAAAAAGAAAAACCACGATTATCCCAATAAATGCAGAGCAAGTATTTTACAAAATCCAACATCCATTTCTAATAAAAACTCTCTGCATAGTTTACAAATAGTATCTTCTTTAGTTAGCTGTTGAAGTTTTCCTTCCAATGGATTTAAAGTCAAAGAAAGAAAGCTGTAGATCTGAAAAAAAAGTTAAGCCATTCAAATATAGTTAACACTATTATATACTATCACTTACACTTCAAAGAAATTAAGTATGTGATTGTTTTATGTCTACAAAGAAAATTTTTCCAAACTGAAAGGGACAGATCTTTCACAACTTACTACCCAGAGAATAACTTTTTAAAAATCAAGTATTTGCTTGATGTAAAATAATTATTGGAAAAGAAAAAAAGTACATCTAATTCAAATAATAATAATTAAAGAAAGATAATAATTAATATTTTCTGTAAGATATAAAAAAACTCTAAAATTTCCATTTTGGTAAATGACTCAGATTAAATCTTAAGGTAGTACTTTAAATACACTGTTAAGTGGGGAGGAGGTAATCAGCATGACTAAATGTATACTAATCCCAACTATATACATCAAAGCGATATCGTGAAATTCATTAGTTTTAAAATCTAACTTTTTAGTAAGTCAAGATTATGGCACATAATCAGCCAAAATACAAAATCAAATCTCACGTAAAGAAACAATTTATGACTCAAAATAATCTTTGATGTTCATAAATTTCTTAATATGTCAAATTCAGAGAAATGTACCCTAAATTTAATAATGTAGTAAACTAATTAAATGTCTTGAAATTTTCAAAGCCTAGAAGAAAACTGTAAATTTCTTCTTGAAGTTTCACAGAGCTCTCGTGATTAGCATTTACTCTAGAATGATTCTGGAAATGTAGGTATCTGTTAGAAAATGATAGGCATATTTATCAGATCGCTTAAAAACATACAGAAACTTATTTTACATGCAGTAAAAGTGGTATAGTCTGATGATTATATGATGGAACCTTTGAAATGTCACATGCTTTCAAAATCAGAAACAGTTTTAGAAGCTCTTAAATGATGTAACTTAGTTTTACAGTTGTACTGTATTTGATCCTTGCTTAGAAATCATAGACCTTTGGCCAAAAGTTTTAAATAATCAGAACAAAGTTTGTATCAGTAAAGAAATTTAATGTATGGGAAATATTTACTATTGACTTTAGTACCTGAATGACAGTAGGTCATATACCCAAATATGTTACCACTTTACTATATACCTTGTATAGAAGTAAATGTAGCTTAAAGGATTTAATTTTTAAATTGTCCAATATGTAGTAATTAAAATTTAAAACCAATATTTCAATTACATGTTCAAATTTTGAAGTTTTACTAGCTTTCTCAATATACCAATTAACTTTTTAAAATCTGGACCAGTTTGAAATGTTTAAATAAACAGTCGATTACAGTTTTATATCTAGGGCCAGAATAAGACTTTATTATCCCTTCATACAGTTTTTAAATTACCACATTACAAATAGCTCTTATTTAGTAAAAGATGAATACTCCAGTAAAATAAAGTCTTCATTACCTGACTGAAGGAAAATTACATACTTAAACATTTAATAATAGCCAGATACACTACTATTACAGTTGTGAATTCTAACAAAATTATATCAAAGTTCTATAAATGATAATGTAACATGCCATAGAAAAATTAGTTTAATATACAGAAGGATACCTCTAGATGTTTATTTCTTTTTGCAATCTCACTTGGTGTCTTTCCATCTTTGGTTTGTAGCATTTTATTAGCTCCAAGTTCAAGCAACTTCAAAACTACATTTTTATGACCCTGACGCGCTGCCCATGTTAAAGCCTGTAAAAGTGCAGGGAAAAGAAGATTGTTTAAAGAGAGAGACTGTATATGAGACAGAGAGAACAGTATTTATGGCACAGTAAAAAAGTGAACATGGTTAATTAATGAAATGATACAATCTCTTCAGTTCACAACATAAACATATTTCCAAAGTTGTAACTGCAAAGCAGACTTCCAGTGCTCACTGATTTTATAAAAGCAAATGTTTTATTTACATACTCAAGTGATGTTATATAATAAAATGATAAATCTGCCAATCGCTGAACTGTTTTCTATAAAAAAGAATTATATGTGTATTCCAGAGCCCAAGCTTTGTTGTGTGTTATAGCTCCTGTGTCAAGGGTGAGGACCAAGAGAGTCAGATAATTCCTTTTTCCTATTTCAGCTGTTGCTTTTCTTCACCAAACAGCATTTATATCCCAGCCCTTCTGTAATTTTTACTTCTGAAGAAACTTTTTTGTGTCTTCCTACTACTAACAAGATAAAAAGGAACATTATATAACGGCTTCTCACAGTGTAACCATTCTCATCCTGGGTATTGACTTCTGCTCCGTGAGCAACAAGGAGAGCGACAACCTGGGTGTGACCGTCACGGGCAGCGTACATGATTGGAGTCATAAGTCTCCTAAAGAGAAGAGAAGAAGAAACATTTGGGTTAATGCTGCCATTAACAGCTACTCAAGTTCATGAATGTTACCATACATAGTACCATCAGTATTGTTTAAGAGAAGAAAAAAAGAATGAAAACTTTTAATAAATCAGGTGATTTAAAAATCCAATCTCCCACAAATAAAATGATGAAGCATTGCATGCTTACACAGCACCCTCTAGTGAAGAAATGTGTTTAAGAAAAAAAATCACTAAATAAGCCATACTTTCAAATACGAGGTTTCATTAANATATTAAAAATGAACTTTATAGGTTGATAACATAATTTCTTACCGAATAAGGCTGAAAATGGAGCTGAGCTACATGAGAAACACTTTTTTACTGCCCTGAGTGAAACTATCGCTACTTTGAATTTTCAATTTGACACTTAAAATGATTTAAAGAGAGTGAGAGCTACACTATGAAAAGCATGGAATGCAATGAAAAAAATAAAACAAAAAATGATTTTATGTGAGTTAACAAGAAGATGCATTGTTTTAATTCTTAGTAAACTGACTTTTTAAAAACTGTCTGTATAAAGTACCTCCCATTTTAGAACACAGTATGTTGCAAAATGAACTAACCATTTACCTGGGGAAATGATGGCATCAAGTAAAATAACTCAGGCATTATCAAAATTAAACTAAAAAAGAAAAGTTGATTCTAAACAATATTAATATAAACCGATAAGTTAACTTTACCTGATTTCCAACTTTGCCACTTCAGGTAATTCTCCAAATTTTATCTCGTCTACCTGTAGTTCTTTAAGAGCAGCCAGAATTTTCTGCTGATCTCTACTGGTAATTCCATTCTAAACAGAAATAATTTCAAGATGTAATAAGATAGTCATACTTGAATAATTTAATATTCAAAATTACTAAAGAAGTTTCCTACTTGATTAATTTACATCTTGAAAACATACATATTTAAAAAATAACAAACATACTGAAAAATATTTGCTTGTAACTTTGAGAAGGTTACATCATTGAAATGTTTACACAGTAACCGTAGTTACTATATATAACAATTGTGATGGATTCTAAAGACAAATTACTACATTTTAATATATAGTCTACCAAAAAAAAAACCACCCCACAATAAAACAGTTTTTTCTTCAAAATATTAATTTAAATTATCAGTGATTAAGTGAGAATTGCCTTCTTCTTTTTGTCTGTATGCTACCTTTAGTATTAACTACATTTTCTATCCTGGACTTAGCGAAGGACTATGCTTATTTTGATTTTCAGTGATACTGAAGATTTCAAGTTTCCAATGTGTCCATGGCAATGTATTCCAATGCGTTCAGGAAGCTCATTACTTTTTAGGTGTCCTATTTATTAAAGTATTTCTCATATTTCCCACAGTATTTTCAAATTGTTACTTAATAATACTAGATAATAAAATCACAGTTCTTGATCATTTTGAGAGCTCAGCAAAAGGCAGTATTTGGATGACATATGTTCATACCAACATATACAAAGAAACGTCTCTTATTTCTAAGTAACCTCTTTTACACTGTTTTACAAATCTAATTCATATTTAGAACGAAGCATCAGTTTCAGCTGAGATGTCATGACTAATCTTAAGAAAAATAAACAAGTTTTAAGACTTTAAATGTTCTTAAAGTAAACTAATACTGTAACAGAAGATTTTACATATGGTTATCTATAATCATTATCTAATTAAGAACCTAGCAAAAAAAGATCACTCACAGTCTACAGCCCTAGGATTTTTAAAAGGCTCTACAATTTTAGAAATATGAAAGATAACGTCTGCAGTTTTTGAAATTGATACTACCTTTGTAAACTCATCTTTCCTCATGGTCAAAAGATGTCTTAAAGTTATATCCCTTTCCTGTAGAAAAGGAAAAAAAAGCCACCTTTCAATATAAATGAAACAGTAGAAGGGGAAGTAGCCATGTGTACATAAATTAGTCAGTTATATGCTGCCCTCCTCAACAACTTTCAACTTTCTAGAGGAGATAGGATAAGCAGGTATAGATCTATACTATGGGCTGATAGTAATAAGAGTCATATGTACAATTACCTAAAAAAGTATAAACATAGCTAGTTTTCCAGATTCAAAGAAAATGATTACAACTTATATTTACCTACATGGAAAAAAAAATAGATCTATAAAATTTGACAGAAATTATATTTCATGAATATTTAAAACTTCTAGCTGTATCACATTAAACGATCAATAACATTTAGGTTTACTCAGTATTTCTCAATTAAGAAGTTTCTTGTACAATGAAGTGGAGTTCTGAGCCACCTAAACAGAATGTGCATCTTCCTAAGGAGAGCCTATCTGAAGTAGCACTTTAAATGCTTCAGTCCCAGCTAACTGGCTGATGGCTGTCACCTACTAAAATCCCACAATGCATGCCTGAAGTACCTACACCGGTGTTTGGAATATGATTTTAATCTCTGTGACAACCGACTTTAGGTATTATCATTATGAAAAAAAAAGAGAGATTTAAGTAATATATTTCAGTTAATAATCCTTCAAGTTAAATCTGATACCAGGTTTGCTGGGTTTAAAAATCTTGGGTTTTCTAATATTCTATACACAATTGCAAAAACAAACTGAGGGTTTAGATGTACCAGCAGGAGGTCTATGAAGCTTTATGAAGTGGGTAAAAGCTGTTAATCCAGCCAGATTCTAATTTATGTAAATTTCTAGAATAATTTTTGAAATACTTGTAAATTCAAAATGGGATGTACTACAAATCACAGAAAAAAGTGCCTCTGGGCTTCTTTTATAAGCATGCTTATGACTATTTAATGTTATGTTAACCAACAAATAAACATACATAACAACTCATTATAGCTTATATAATCTTACCTTTAATAAATCTGCCATATGTTCAAGTCCAAGGCCATGTAAAAATATTTCCAGATCTCCAAATGCTGTATATGAACTATATATATTTATAGCAATGTCAATTTCAGAAAAGACTATAAATGCACAAACAATAAATACATATTTATAATGGAAAGAGAGAATGAGTAACAATGAATTTATGTAGAATATATTTGCATATTTACACACCAGACCTATGTTACATCAAGGAATATTTCTTTTTTTTTTTTTAAAGATTTTTATTGGGGAATT